TTTAAAAAATTTAAATTCGAGGATTGATGCAACAAATACTCTAGCTTGTTCGAGAAAGAAAAAGTCTCGTTTCATTTTTTCCATTAGGTAGCGAAACGCTGTTTGGTTGAATTGACCGAAACGTTTCTGGGAACTGCAAACAAATTCATTTTGCAGAATCCTCGAAATGGGAAATCAAAATGCCCAAGCTAATTCCTAACGTCCTTTACTCCCATGTGAAACCCAATCTCCAGCTCATTCTTTTGGGCACTTGATCCCAATTTCGCCAAGTTCCCAATCCTAGCATTGGGATCCTCAACTTGGTATGCGGGTTCCTCTCTGGATTCGTCGATTCAATGCTTGGTTTTACACTTTTCCGCCATTCAAATTGACCCAGTTTCGATGTCGCTCGATGCGTGATCTTTGATTGTGTTCATTGCTACTCTTGTTCAGTTTAGTTGAGAGTTTCTGAGTCTTAATGTAAGTTGGCTTAGATCTGACTTCTTCTACATGAAATTTGTTTTTTCTTGTTTTCAATTTCACTGTTGGTCTATGTATTGTTTCAAGCATTATTGAGAATGATGGGATTATTCAATCACCAAATTTTGTGAAGTTTGAATTGCAGGTAATGCCTATCTGAGAAAGCTCCTTGTGATTATTAGTCTTGCAAATAATTTAAATGGCAGTAATGGATGACTGAATTATTATTTGGTAGTTATTTTCAAAAACTTTCCTTTCCAGTAGATAAATTTATGGCAGAATTTGTGAAATTACCAATTAAATGCTAACATGTTTTGGTTGCATTGTTGTTAACTACTTTATAAAACTGGGGAGGAAAAGTACCTGCTAGATCTACAAAGAATTCAAGGGCCACAATTTGTGTTTTTATACTTTTGTGCTGTATTCCTTGGACAGCTTTAAGTCGTTGGAAATGAGGGAGAGGTCTCTATTCTTTCAAATTGATCATTTTCTACTCGAAATTTAAATTTCAATGGTGGATATTCATTGAAATTCATTCATATATACGATGTATAATATTATATATATCATATTTTTTAGTATGACTTGATTACCACTGCCTTCATGGTATCCCTTCAATTTTTAGATGGATGTTTGATTTCTTGAACTTTTTTAGTTTTTTTATTAAAAAAAGAAGTGAATAAAAGGAGAGAAGTATTGGTTTAACGCCTAAGTTGGATTATTATCATCATTCAAATCGTTAAGATTAGTGACTTATCTATAATTTTATTTGTTTATAATTTTTTCTTAAATTATTAGTATAATATTTAGAAACATTTATTTATAATTTAATTTTAATTT